GTAAAAATCTACCACTACTACTACAAATACTGTTGTGGGGAAGGTATCATCATATTATTGGATATTGTCGTCCCCATCTGGGATGCAGTTTTTTTTTTTTTTTTTTTTGAAGCCCCATCCTGGCTTCTGCCGGGGGCCCTGGATATAGCCGGGGCATAAATATGACCTAGCCACAGATATGGCCTAACGGCTGAGAGGGGTTTTTGGGACCTCTCCATGGGTGATCCTCATCCGCATTGTGGCACTTTGGTCACTGGGTGTTTATCGCTTGTGTGATGTCCTGGTGGGGTACAACTACTTACATACCTGTTGGCGGGGGAAAGGGGGGGGGGGGGCATAATATAACACAACTTATGAGTTGAACGGGGTTTCTGTGACCTGACCCCACCCCAGGTGATACTCATCCGAACGGTGGCACTTTGTGTCACCGGGTTTTTATCGCTCTTAGTGGGGGTTGAACATCATCATCATCAAGAATAGTAATATTATGTGAAGTTACTTAAGCAATGGATTACGTCCCCTAGTGCTGGCACTTAAAGTAATGTTAACTAACAATAGATCGCGTTCCCTAGAGCAGAAGTTATCAAACAGGGTGCCGTAATCATATGCCAGAGGTGCCGTGGCAATGATCAAGAATTTTTAAAAATCTGCTTCAGATCAGCGAAGACAGCAGTTTGAAACCGTACCCGGAGCGCCGTGGCGCACAGTTTGGGAATCACTGCTTTAGACTAGGGCTGTACCGAATAGTGATTTTTACTATTCGGCCGAATACGAATAGCTGGACCAACTATTCGGCCGAATACGAATACGAATAGTGAATCATCATCATCAGGTGCTTTGCCGACTGGCATGGGCGATTATGCCTCGCCACAATCTGTGATCTCCTGCAGCATGTTTTAGTTCGTGTGCTGACACACCTCCATGCCATGCAACAAGACTGTCAAGAATCTTCTCTCGTTGCCTTGCTCTATTCCTCCTTCCACAGATCTTTCCAGTGGTCACCACATGTTCTATTTTCCCTCATCTTATAACGTGGCCAAAAAATTATTACTTGTCTTCCCACTATTCAAACTGAGGCCCATTCTTCCACTTCCGTGTATAAAAAAAGATCTTAAAAAAAAATATCATTAATGTTAAATGTACGCTGCAATTTTACTTCACAAAATGTAGTAGAGAATAGTAAACATTTAAAAACATTTCATGTTTTGCATCCTTTAATCAGTCAGTCAGTGACTAATACCTAGGAATGAAAGTTTGCTTAGTTTTATAACAAGTAACTAAACTTGTAAATTGCCACTGACAGCTTAGTTAATCCATGAAAGCGGCATTAGCTTTCCAAAAAAAAATCGTTCCATGTTGTCAACATTAAAGCAGCTTCTTGTCTCACTGAAGGTATTTCCATCTGTACTAAACACTTGGTACGCTCGTAGGTGGTGCACAAAGATAACGCTTGAGAGTAAGAACCAAGGTGGGAAATCTTGATATGTTTATTTTCCACCAGTCCAGTAACGGGTGTAAGGTAACCACTATTCGTATTCAGCCCGACCGCAACTAATCGGCCGAATACCGAATAGTTATTAGGTCCACTATTCGGCCCCGAAGCGAATACGAAGCGAATATTCGGTACAGCCCTACTTTAGACTATTGTTTTTTCGACCATGGGCCGCGGCCCCCCGGTGGGCAGCGAAAAGGTTTGAATAAGCCAACCAAAAATAAATCCAATTTATTCCTGCAAAAGGGTAGGGGATATGGTCCTTGTCTCCCAGTCTGTAGGGTTAACACCTATAGGACTTCCTATGTGTGTCAAAAGACCGTTTCAGGTTTGTCAATAACAAAAACTAAACAGAGAAATCAAATGGATGTTATTATAGCTACACATGGCGCTAACAAATAAAGAGATCTGAAGTGAAAGCAAGAGGCCGCCCTAGGAGAAAGTAGACTGATGACATTAAAGAGCTTCTACATCGACACGGAATGACAAAAGCCATTGTTGCCCATCAAGCAATGGATTGCAAACTGTTCCTTTCCACGACACTTAACAACAGAAGTAGAAACTAATGATGATGATGTAATTGTAGCACTTCGTCTATCAGAAACAACGCTCCAGCCACATAATAAGATATTCTAACCTGTAAGCAGCGGCAGTATCCGAAAATGTAACGTTGTAACATCGGATTTAACAAATAAACAACCATCTTCATTTGTTTTTTGTTTTGTGTTTAGTTAGCTGTCGGATGGGTTGTAAAACAATGTACCCATTTTAGTGGGCCGTGGATGTTAGAGGTTGAGAAACACTGGTTTAGACTTAATTATATATATATATATATATATATATATATATATATATATATATATATTATATATATATATATATTATATATATATATATATATATATATATATATATATATATATATATATATATATAATGCAGTTAAATTTAAAGAAAATGAAAATAATGTCCACCGATAAAACTGACTGTCACCAAAAAATAACATTA